CCTGTAGCGATGACATGTTCAGCCACTTCCGACTTGTCAATACATACACCTTTGCAAGAGGTTCTGTGTTCTGATTGCTTCCCATTTATGGGTCGACAAGTCTTCTTCACATAAACACCAAGACATGAGCACAAAAAATTATGACAACCGATCTGCAGAGGGCGTCAAAGAGTCTCTAAAAGAATGCATGATCGAGGAAAGCGTTATTGTTTCTTGATATCTTGTCTTGACACTCCATTTCCTCATTAATTCGCCTATCTTTCTTGAAAGATGGCAGGATGGTAGCATTAGGAGCCTGGACGAAGAGTTGTCTAATTGTTTGTTTTGTCCAAAATAATGGAGTCGTAATTTGGAAGTTAACGCTCTTCTATCTTTGCCTCAGAGTAGACCGCCATTTGGTACCGGCACTTGACGAGAAGGGTTCAGGCCCATGAGATGTGGGTCCAATCCCGTCCGGAGCTGTAGCTGGGCTCAGATCAGTTCGAAGGTACAGTCTCTTCAAGATGGAGTTGAAGATTTCAGTGTGGCATTCACCTGTACAATTAAATCGGTCGTGGTGAGTAGCCAGTAGTATGCATACATACACACGTACTTGTGTATTTTGCATGTTGCACAATGTCTTATCATACGGTCCATCCGTGACTCATTCAGACGGCCCTCTCTGGAATGGATGTGAACAGGAGATTGAAAGACCGTCTGGACTGGATGAATGAAACTTTGTAAATTCCCATTTGTCGTTTGGCGCAGGTCGCCTTCACAACTCGATTCGACGTAGAGAAGGCTCAATTTCGTCCATCCTATAAGACACGAACAAATACATTTTGGCGGCCTGTCTGCATTGCCTAGCAACACGTGCATGTATATATTCAGGCGGGTCAGCTAAATTCAACGCATAGTCCCTTCTGCTCCGGGACGGTACAGGCAAAAGTGATGCGGGGCTCGTCATGTCGGAGTGCAACTTGAACCAAATACATCCGATTTATCAAAGATTGTAGCAAATGATTGTCGTAAGAACAGAGAAAAGCGCAGATCAAGGCAAGACTTTGACAAAAAAGGATAAATAAAAAGAAACTTTTAGTCTAAATTTTTACTAATGGCGTCATCTATCCTTTTGAAAAGACCAGTTGGCTTCATCACAACCCGAAGGATGAGCTGCAATGGTCGGTCAGAAATGGTGATTAGAGCCTATAGAACCCAGCTTCCTCGTCCATTGCTGCTGGTACATGCATTGTGACCCTTTGTCCGTCCTTAAGAGGCAGAAGACAGCAGAGCAGTTTATGAAAATTGGTTGAATGCACAACCAAAATGTGTGGTAGTCAATTCAGAAAATGAGGAAGCGTCTAAATGACGACTTGGAAATATATATATGTGTGTGTGTGTGCATGTGGTTCATGAGTCACTTGAGTGGGCCTAGTTAAGATTGGACATGATTTTGTTAATTGGCGAGATTGGTTTATCAGAATAAACTGTGTGTGACTAGGCGACCAGAAAAGAGCTGTAGAGTGTGATTTGAGGCCGCCAGTAGAGCTTGACCAAGAACTGTATTCATTCTTGGTGTTGAGGGACTCGGATCGTTGAGATTGTTCCACAAATCTGAGGGTTGGTCTCACGAGAAGAGTAAATTTCAATTGGTGCCGCATTCCAAACGGCATTTTTATCTCGGCTCGATTGTAGTGGACTGCATTCAGCTCCAGACGGGACTCGACTCGAGGCCGAGTGGTGGAGGGCTCCTTTAGGACATGTTGCCAATGTGCCAGAGGGCAGAAGTGATCGCGATCAAGGTGTGAATGTCAAGTTGGCAAAGGTGTGTTCTGCTG